TATTCCCAAAGAAGGGAAAAAACTCGATCAACCGACTGAGCTCTCTAACATCGTTAGGGAAAGTAGCTGAGAGAATGGTCAACCAGAGACTCTACTGGTGCTTGGAGAGCACCAAGAGTCTCAGCCCAATACAGGCGAGCTTCCACAAGAGACCAAGTACTCCGTCTTCTCCAGTCCATAACAGATGGGCTCCAGAAAAAAAATCACATACAGTGACTGTATTTTTCGACCTCAAACAAGCCTATGACCGAGTTTGGAGGTCAGGTCTATTGTTGAAATTGCAAAAGTTGGGAGTAACCGCAAATATGTATCGGTGGATCTACGGGTTCCTCACAAACCGGACGATTAACACAAAATTCGGCGATGAAACCTCCAGGAACTCTTGAGGGAGGGCTCCTGCAAGGGTCAGCCCTCAGTTGCACTCTCTTCCTTGCATACATCAATGACCTGCCACAAGTGCTAACGACTAGTTCTGCCATGTATGTTGACGATTTGGTTATCTGGAGCACCGGTAAGGATGTCCACCGCCTGCAAGCGCTATTACAGCAGGACCTCTCTGCTATCAACAGGTACATGCGGCGGTGGCACCAGGAAATCAACACCGAGAAGACGGTCTATTCGCTATTCACAAACGGGCGGACCATTCTCAAACAGGAGATCGAGCTCAAGGTGGGCGATGTAGCGCTCAAATGGGGCAAGCGACCGGTTTACTTAGGAGTCAAATTGGATCAAAAGGTGCAAATGCATAATTTTGTACAGGACCTCTGCTCCCAGGCAACCGCTAAGCTCAATCTGGTGAAAAAACTGGCTTGCACAAGTTGGGGCGCGGTGTAAGGTCGGTGATGGATTACAGCATGCCGGTCCAATCCTTTGCAAGCAAGACCGCACTGGAAAAGCTTGGCCGAATCCAGAATCAGGCTCTGAGATTCATCTGTGGCACTTACAGGACCCACAGCTACTGTAGAGGTCTTGGCCAATGTAGAACCGTTACAAATTAGGAGGGAAAAAGCAATATTAAGTACAGTAGAGAGGTACCGGCGGCTCGACGAAAACGAACCAGCCTTCCAAATGCAGAATAACTGGGTTGGTGGTAGGAGACTAAAGAGGTCCTCTTTCATGCATCAGGTCGTGGGGCTAGAAAGGACAGTCAAAATAGAGAACGTCTGACCCTGATACCAGTTAATCCGCCATATGCGGAGCCCTCACGCCCCTCCATACATTTGGCCTTGACTGATGCAGCAGTGTCGAAACGTAGCCCTGAACATGTTCAGAAAGCGGCTGCCCTTGAGACCATTGATGTGTTCGCACACATGCCAGTGAAAGTGTTCACGGACGGCTCTGCCAACCTGAGAGATAGAGAACTGCTGGGTACGGTGCGCTTTACTGTATCCAGTGGGAGGACCACCAACAAAAGAACTCTCGGGGCCTTGTGGGACTGCAGCATCAAATTTTGATGCTGAGCTCATGGCTGTACACAGGGCCTTGGAGAGAATTCATGACACATTGAAAGGGGCGGAACATGCGGGGCTTGATGTAGTTGTCTACTCAGACTCAAGATCTGCTTTCGAAAGAGACAGGGTACCACACGTTTGGTCGACGTCATTACCAACGATGTATGCAAACTATGTGAACTAGGGGGCAAGGTTACAATACAGTGGATACCTGGCCACGTCAACATCAGTGGCTACGAGAGAGCGGATACTCTGGCGAAAACCGGGGCTGCCCAGCCTCAGCCAGAAGTACCAATGACTTTTTTGGGAATTAAAAACTGGCTGGCGGACCATTTCAGGCAGAAGTGGTACAGGCAATGGGCTGACATAACGACCACCAGAGGCGTCTATTCAAACTTACCCACTCCTAGCAAACAAGAGCCATGGTGGGGGTTAGGACGCAGATCACAGAGTTTAGTGACGCAGATGCGCACCGAGCACTGCCCCTTGCGCACATATTTCTGGCGGCTGGATAACATCAGGGATCCTACCTTCCGGCATTGCAGCCTGGCCCTGGACACCCTAGAGAACCTGTTGACCGAATGTCCCTCACTAGATCTCCCGGGGGAAGCCAGGGCTGTTGGAGGACCCTTTGTGAGGAAAATGTTGTATGGCTCAGCTCAACAGATGGAGTTGATAGCCAATTTACTAGCCGGGGTCATAAGAGAGTCATCTCAGACCCTCACCAGAATATGTGTGTTAGGTTTGTTAGTGGCAATGCCATGTGTAAAAAAAAATGGGCCCTAGTTACGGGTGCCTTTTCATGGGTCATTTTAAATACATGATAGAGAAGGCATAATATATTGGCCATATTCCTGAATTTTATATTACATCGATTGATGGCGGCATTAACATAAATACCATGAATAAAAATAACTCCAACAATTTATTGACTTTTAAAACTCATTTCAACCATCCATAAAATTTAATTCCAAATTCTTTGGATATTCTGTCCACTTTCTGGACATTCGTCAACTTTCTTGATACCAGTATCACCATCAAATTGAAATAAAAAATAAAAAAGGAACAAAAGCAACAACGGATTAATCACATCTGCCTACTAGCAACCCACAGACAACCATAGTTATCTATTGTACTCATCCTCCCACCACATATCATGCAAAAACTCTATACCTTTCTCACAACTTCTCAGACTATGTCGCCTCAGTCAGCTTGATGGAGAATTTTATAGATAGGGCTAATGAATTGAACAACTTCTTCCGCTCCATATGTTATCCTGAAACTCGATAGTATCAGCATTATCACAGTGAATTTTTCTTTTAAACCTCGTCCAAACAAAGCATACTTCTTGCTGAACCCGACACCAACGGGGTATTCTCATCTCCTCCACTTATTGTCTTCAGAGGGGACCTTCTGGTTCCCAGTCGCCTTCAAGCTGACCCTTCTTACGTTGTGCTCAAGAATTCATTGTAATAATTGTCCCTGTACACCCGAAACCAAAAACATTAGCCTCCCTTAAGGTACTTTTACCCCAAAAGAGGGCTTCAAAGTTCACATATGGTAGTCGAAATGTGATACATGCCATTGTGTAGCGTAGAGGTCGCTCCTGTCATATAGGCGAAACTGGAAGAAGATTATCAGAAAGTTTTACTGAACAGCTTCGTAATTTTGAACAGGGTAAACTTCCCCTTATTTTATCCCACTTCAACAGAGATAAACATAGAGGAACATTAGTTGTATCCATAACAGAACTGATTTCCTGTACTAATGCACCAGCGAGGTGTGGGCATAGGGCTACTACTACTACTACTACTACTTCATTTAATTTTGTTTTATATCCCTGTTATCTTTTTAAATTTTATTCTAAAATTATTAAAATTACTATTATTACTTTAGAAAAAAAAAGTAGAGGAATTTACATTTTATTCATCATTTATATTTAGCATCTATGTTCGGTTACTCAATTATTAGAAAGATAGATGATAGATTGATTAGATTATATTAGATTAGATAGTTCATCCATCCATCCATCCATCCATCCATCCATCCATCCATCCATCCATCCATCCATCCATCCATCCATCCATCCCTCCCTCCCTCCCTCCATCCATCCATCCATCCATCCATCCATCCATCCATCTAACTTCTTTTTTTCGTCTGGTGCGTACATGAATAAATTAGAAGGTTCTTCGACGCCTGAGCAGGCCACATACAGCTGTCCGTGTGATAAGCATAGATTTTTAAATTGTAGTCCACACACTTGTAGTGATTGATCCACTCATGCAATAGCTCTACTTATGCCACACAAAAAAGAAATGTCGCTAATTTTATTTGTTTTAAATCCCATTCACACATGCAATAGCTCTGAAATTATATTTAAAAATGATATAGCTTATATAGTAAAAAAAAAAGTCAATTCATGGCACCTGACAAATGATCTGCAGAAGCGGTTCTGAGCACGAAGCTGTTGACCGGCCGCTCACAGACCACAAAGCCTAAGAGAACAGTGTGAAATGTTTTTGCTAATTCAGAAACCTACTTGTTATGACACACACGCACTGAAATGTCGCCGTTCGTATTTGATTCAACGCCACCCTCCCATGCAATAACTGCAATAACTCTGTTAGAAAGTAAATTTTTATAGCTTATATAAGAAAAAAAAACAACAAACAACTAATTTAGGGCCACCGGTCCCAACTGGAGTATTGTGGAAATGGTTCTACTGTTGTACTTATGCAAAAAGCTTTGCCAGTGTGTGCACAACAACTTTTTAAAATTTTAATCGCAATGAGATGAATGTGTAACATAAGAACGCATATGGAAATTATATTTATAGAGCTCATTTAAGAAAAATTAATAATTTAGGGCCCAAACCAATAAAAGTAGAATGGTTGTACTTATTCAGAAAAATTTGCGGGCGGGCGGACAACTCCAAAGTTTAATCATCGGATGAATGGTATAATAGGAACGCATACATGACATACATTATGATTCTGATAGACTACGTACGCATACGGGACATACATTATGAATCTGATAGACTACGTTGCTGCAACCAAGTACTGGCATATGTGCAACGGTTTGGGAAACGATGCGGCCATCCTAACCGCTCCTAGCTAGCGGGTGCCAGGGCAGCCTTGAAACTTTCGATTGATGTCGAGTCCATGGCGGCATTGTCAAGTTCATTCCGAGCAATTATTGTTCGTGGGGAGAATGACTGTTTATATTCAACTGTGTTACACCGAGGGCACAGTGACAATGAAGCATATTTATGAATTTTAACATTGTTCCGGATGTAACTGCTCATGGCCATGGAGTTGTCATACATACATAAAATCACATACTTACATACGTCAAACAGACATTCATAAATAAATAAATATATATACACAAAATTTAACCAAAAAAATCAACCTTTATTTTTAATATTAATAAAAGTTTAAAAGAAGTTAATTTTTGGTAAAGTTATAATTAATTATTATTTTTTCAAAAAAAGTCTTCTTTGGTAGAGTCATAAAAAAAAATTACAATAAAATGAAAGACATTTTTATTACAAAAGAGTGGATTGGTATTATTGTTAACTCATTCAAAGAAGATCATTACAAACAAAATTCAAAAATTTACAAATAGTATTACAAAATACACCTAATAATGTTTATATCGTGTTCAAATCGTAAGCATAGTTGGGACAATTTTACACTTATAATCGTAAGTTTTTTTTCATTGTGATTGTGTTTATCTACGATTAATTATGTCATAAAGAATAGCCTAGTAATAGCCTAGTAGTTAGTAGTAGTCGGGTAGTAGTCTAGTGTAGTAGCCTAGGCCTAGTAACTTAACTTAAGTAATTAGTAGTAGTAGCCTATTAATAATTAATAAGGAACAGTAAAGTAACAGTTAACTGAGTTAACAGTCCAAAATTCAGTTTATTTGGTACTTTTAAAAAGTAAAAAAAGACACGCAATATTCAAACTTCGCTGAGACGCTCAAGTGGTAAATTACCCAATTATTAAATCAAAATAATATTTAAAAAATAATAAAAAGTGCAGTAAATTTCAGTAAAACTTACAGTAGATACATTAATTTACAGGTAAATGAGCCAGTTTTAGTAGCCTAAATTATAACTTGGACAAGGGGCTATCGATAATGATTAAATGAAATTGACGTCATGATTATTGACGTCATACCATCATGCGTCTAGGGAGGGGGGAGGGGGGGGGTCACACTTTTGTGAGGATATGTCATGTGTAAGAGTAAGAGGGGGGGGGGGCTTAACTTTTTTCATTCCTCTTATCTTATATAGCGAGCGTATGTATACCTCAGTTACTTTGGCTCATACTCATACAATGTTGTACTGTTAATTTTTTAAAGTGTTCTATAATTGTTTTATCGTACATTTGGAAAAAAATATATTAAAAAAAAAATTATTAAAATTTAATGTTGTTTATTTGCGATTTCGTGATTAACGTGACACGCTGAAGCGTCAGTCGCCATCTTAAGAAAATTTGTGCAAGACGCTTGTCGAATCAGCAGCACAAAATCTTAAATAGTGAATACTACTGACGAAAATATTGATATAATTTTATCTTAATCATACAATCATTTGGGGAAGATAGTTGGAAGCCTGAATCTAGTGATTCTAATTCAGATTTTGAGGAGAATCTTCCTTTACAAATCTACAGCCCGTTATAGTTGCTAAAACTAGAAGGTTAGTAATCAAGTGTTTCGTTATTCTATTTTTTTAAAAATATTTTGTACTTTTAAAGATTTTTATTGGTTTAAATTGTGTTTTTAATCGTAATTAAATCTTTACTAACCATTTTTAAATGAATCTACATAAATAAAATCATTGCATAATTTGTGAATATTTTATTACATAGATACTTTTAGAAGACATTATTCTTAGAAACTGTGCTAAGGAATGTACACAATGCAGTTGGCACTGATTATTATGATATATAATTCGCCAGAGCAAGCAAGTAGGACGCAGACAAACCCTCCCCTCTCTTCCATTGTCTGCCCATCGTTGGTCTCGAGACATGCGCACCCCAGTGGAGCTACCGCCCCCTCCTCCTGCACCACCTTCGCTTGCCAGCCATGTGCATGCGCTCACCCCAACAAGCTCTGAGCCAGCTCCACTTTTGCTCTCTTCTTCGAACCACATTCACTCTCGTTGTTCTGATTTCTTCGTGTTGCTGTTTGTGCCCATTCTTTTCCCCCTTTCTTTGCGAACATGGCCACCACTTCGCATGTGTTTCATGGAAACAACGCTTCGTTCACTGTTATACCAATTCAATTTCCTCTTAGATTAGTCTTTGCAATGACAATTAATAAGGCACAGGGACAAACTTTCAAAAAGATATGCCTCGTTCTACCAAAACCGGTCTTCAGTCACAGAAGTTCTATGTAGCTCTCTCCAGAGTTCCATCTTTTCACGCAATCACAGTTGTATCCTCAAACCTGTCACATTTGGACAACTGTGTCTTTCATGAGGTCTTCACTCATCTATGAGCAATTCTGCGGCGTATGCTATGCCGCGAGACGCCTAGTTATGATATATTTCACCATCAAGGACATGAAATTTGACATCTATTTGTGTTGTAAAAATTAAAATTTGATTATCTGACACTAAATTTTTAGTGTTTTCTAGACAATATTGGAAGTATTAAAAACTGGAAATTTAAGTAAAGTACATATTTTATATTTATATTCATTTCATTCCTTATATTTGCATATAGGTCTTTAATATTAGTTCTTCTTTTGCATTTACAGGCTAAACTTGTATGATTTTCGAGATAATGACCCAACTGTTTCCACTCCTAAGTTTCCCCCAGCCAGAAAGCCAGGCTGACATTTGTGGGAAGAAATGTCAACATAACATGGATACAATGAGCCAGAATCTTCATCCTATTTCAAATAATATGACAACAAATGGATTTTCTTTTGTGAACAGAACCAAAACTGATGGTGTATTTTAGGAAATTATTGGTGAGGAAACCAAATATTGTCAAATCAGATTTTGAAATACAATTCATTTATGTGTGTTGTTGACCTGTTGATAAATGGATATATCACCCTAAGTAAAGAGAAAAGCACTGGACAAACCATTTTTTCCATTTTGTTGATATTGCCAGCCATAATCTCTTCAGGATTATTTACAAGAAAACTATGATATAGATGAACTGAAGCTACCTAACATTTAACTCTCAATTTACTTCACCGAGGAAATTATTTTAGCATTAGATGAATTACTAAAGGTGATGATATTCCTAGTTCCGCAAATGTAATTAACACAAAATACAATATAATACATACAGTAGTTCCTAAATGCATAGATTTTAAAAGACATTCTACAGTATGCTACAAATTAGGAGTGCTTAGAAAATAAAATCCTAAATCGAAAGTAGCACTAGCACATGGTAAACTTATCTTTGTTTTAGAAAACAAGAATCTTTCTGAGTAACCATACCATGAACTTTAAATTCTCAATTTTTTTAAATGGGTAAATAATTAATAAAAGGTAAAATAATAATAACCTGTAATTTTTGTTAATACTTTGTAGAGGGGCGGTGAATTGTTCAAACTTTTATTATTATTTCCACTTTTTGACACATTTTACAAAATAATTTATATTTTGGTCAAATGCTCATGAAATGTTATTAATCATGCTAGAAATACAAAAATGAATTTGCTTTCTAAATAAACAGATTTTATTAAATAATTTCAGGTGTTTTATTTTTTTCCTTCTTTGCATCTGATCACCTAATGTTTCATTTACACATTTTCATTAAAAAATGTAGCATTATTTTTTTTCACAACTTCTAAGTGTTGACACTATATGTTTGAAAACCAACATTTTTAGAAACCTCTTGCATTTCCCCCACAAGAATATATATATAACAGCATGAATTTTAGACACAGATTCTTAAAGTTATTGACTCTTTTATAAAGTCACTAGGAATCTCAAGAAAAACATGTAAAATTTAATGAATGTAAAAAGTAAAGCAATGTTACATCACATTACAAGTGGAATATTATTGTAAAGTATTGCAATTAATAATCCTAAAGTACAAACATTTTTAACATTATTCTTTTATACAATAATTATAATGATTTTATTTTTAAACTACCATCACTGAGAGAATCAGTACAGTTACAGGCATGCGAAATCCGAGAAATAGCCTCTGATCAAGTTACAGGCCACCACAGAGGAGAAGAAAATGGGTGTAGTGACTTTGACAGTTGAGAGAATTTATGTCAAAATGTGGAGACTTGAGTCACAGAATTAGGATCACCATGTGAAGTGGGATGGAATGAAAAAAAGGTTGATGGGGGGTGGGGGGTGATCTTCGTAAATGCCCTAGGGCAGGGAACCTTTTTGCAGTGCTGTAGGCCCACTCCATTTAAACATTTCTCTCCAATTGTATAAATTATATTGTAATAAATTTGAAAATAATTAAATAATTTTTTAGTTATCATAGTTTTATTTCTTTAATCATAACTTTTTATAAACAAGGAAAAAATTACCAATACAAGTTATGTGCAAACAAAATTCACCAGAAAAAACATTCACTGCTGCTAATCAAAATGCATGAAAACAGATTTTTTTAAACAGCAGCAACAACAAGCAATTGCAGCAAATACAATTTTCTGGTCTTCCGCACCTTAGGGCTGGGGAGGTACTTTTTCTGTTCTAGTGAAATGTTTCTGACAGAGGTGCAGTAATTTGATATGCATGGGAGGTGAATTTCTTAAGGGTTTGTTGTGGACAGATGGAGTTTTTATAGAAGGGGGGGGGGGTGCAGATATTTGTGATGTTATATTTGAGTGGGGGCCTAACTTTTTGTGAGGATTTGTGATGATGGCGATGGAGGAGATAAAAAAGTCAGCAAAATTTGCGTGACATCATTTATGGTTTGCCCCTAAGTTAAGAGTAAGTTAAGACTAACTCACAAATAAGTAATTTATTAGTATGTAAAATGAGAAATTGAATTATGAAATTATGTTAATTGGTTTTGGGAATCAGTAAATTTACATTTGGCTCGCCAATCATTGCCCACAGCCACCATCTTGATTGCCATGACAACAGATGAGAAATATCTAACTTGAATGCCAAGACTAAGTCAGTATCCCTAGCTCAAGAGTTAGTACTTAATTTCCCCCTCTGAATTTAGTCCGCCCAGTGACGTAGCTAGGTATTTGGGGGGATTTGGGGGCCTGGGGGGCTTGGCCTCTTTAGGGGCCCCTGCATTTTGATATTCGACATTATTTAATGTAAAAAGAATTTTCCAACACGCCTTTGGGGGCCCCCCTCAAGTAGGGGCGCGGTGGACTTTCGAATTTGGATCCCCCCTCCCCTCCCCAGCTACGCCACTGAGTCCGCCCTAACTTAAGCATAAATCTTCAAACCTAAATTGTATGGCCTGACGTGAAAACTAAAACTGTTTTCATGTACTACAGTTGCACACGATACAGTCCTAAGAAAATAGAAAATTTCCATAAAATGATTAAAATCATTTTTAAACTATTCTAATTTAAAATAATGAAAACCCAATTTACTGTTTCTTTGAATACTCTATACACGTTTATACACTTTACTGCTGGTTTCACCAAATATAGAACCAAAAGTTGTCACAAAAATCAAAACACATTTTTCACAATGCCTGAAAATTTTAGTCTCATTTTAAATATTATATTTAACTACCAATGAAATATTAATTTAAATCATTCCATTGGTGTATGAATATTAAAAAGTTAACTCTAGTAACAATCCAACAATAAACAAAAGGAAGAAAATCCTGCACAGAAACTCAAAGTGCGAGCCAAACATAAATTGACCATATCAACACTTTACTGTTACATTACTTCCTTACGGTTACCATTCATCAAATTTAAATGCAGTGTAGCCTTGTAAGTTATGTTGAATTTGTAAAATATCTTCAACTTGAGTGAATTTGGTTGTATTCTGTTAATTATTAGTAACTTGTTTGATACTTAGATGCCAATACTAAGGATTATTTAAAGGAAATAAGATGCACATTTCTTGGCTTTATCCATTCTCTTTGGTCATAGTTTAAAAAAAAACAAACAACTATTCATTTAGTAATCTAGATTTTTCATTTATGTATTCATTTGCATTCCCTACCTAGGAATTTTTTAAAGTGAAACGCATCCTATTTCTGTATTTAAATGGATTTTAATGGTTTTCGGAGCCGTACATTAATTAGGTCAACAATTTCTACGCAATTTTTGACCTCCCCCCCACCCCAAGTAATTAATCAACATTTGTATACCCCCCCCCCCCATAAAAAGAATGTAAAAAAATTGATTAAAATATAAATAAATATATAAATACATTTTACTTCGTGATATTTAAATGGATTTTAATGGTTTTCGGAGCCGTACATTAATTAGGTCAACAATTTCTACGCAATTTTTGACCTCCCCCCCACCCCAAGTAATTAATCAACATTTGTATACCCCCCCCCCCATAAAAAGAATGTAAAAAAATTGATTAAAATATAAATAAATATATAAATACATTTTACTTCGTGATTATCTATTTTAATAACAAAAAATTGTAGGAAAAACATTTTAATGCTCCTTTAGCTTTTTACACAAGTTAAAAAGTTTTTACACTTAAATTTGATAATGCAAAATCAATGAAAATGAAAAGGTTGTTAAAGACTAAATATCATTTTTGTGGAAGTAGAAATATGTTTATTATCAGTATAACTGGACAATTGTAGCATAGTTTCTAGCTGCTATCATCTTCCCAGGGAGTAGCCAGGTGTTACTCTATCGTAACAATGGGCATAGTAGCTGATTTATCATTTTCATCTTGCGGAACTGATGTACCAGACAAGTCAACTTCATCCTCATCTAACCATTCAGAACTTAAAATAGAAGCATTGTCAGTGTGAGCAATAATTGCCATAAGCTCTCTCTGTCTCCTAGCAGCTACTTGAATTAGTCCAATCCTTTTTTGTTGATGAGCAGGTGGTAATTTCTTATGCATTGTCGGTGCTGTTGAACTTGCTATTTCAGCATGACTTGTGATGCTAAAGATTTTGCAAATCCGTTCAAGCAGCGATGTTATTATTGTTACTCACTTTACTTTCCCCTAATTCTCAAAATATTGCATTCCTAATCTTGACCGCACATGACTCTTGAACCTTGTCCTTGTTCCATACTTGCAACATGACGGCAAAAATACCGCCCTAGTCATTTTGCACAAATAGAACCTACAGTGGAAGAGAGGCCAACTTTTGACTTCTCTTACATTAACTAAATGTGCTAACATTCTGACCAACCATCAGCAGTGCACAGACAGACACACATTAAATAAATCTTATATTGTAATATGTCTAAGACATAAATAACTATTTTTTAATTTAGACTCATTAAATTTGTTAAAATAATGTAATGACTAGTAAATTTTTAAGATTAAAATTTTAAGAGAAAACATGATTTTTGACATCAACTAATCTACCCCCTCTCCCCTTTATCAACAACAGTAAAAAATTTCCACCCCAACCCCCACCCCTCCTCCCCCATTTTGTGGACATAATTAATGGACGACCCCTTCTACATATATTTTATGTTTGATTATAAATATTATAATGGTTGATTCGCTAAATGAAAAATAATTTCTCTAATAGTTTTAGTTTAACACCATGGAATGTCATTTAAATTTACAGCCTGCTGTGTCCGTTGGAAACGTTGGTCAATTGGCTGCTGACTTAATAGTGAACACACTGGACATGGAACGTGTGGGATATATTTTACACCCCAGTCTTCTGCCTTGTGTTGGCAACAACCCATTTGCTATAGGAGATGGATCTTCGTGTCAGTTGTCCACAAGTTGTGAAAGTATGTATTCAATGATGTCTATGACATTTCAATCTTTGTGGAAGAGGCTAGTGGGTTAATGAGGATAATAATGTTTTTTCATGTATCAGTATCACAGACTAGTGTGGCATAGTTGTAAATAAAAAGTGTAGCAATTGTTTTGTCCTTTTTAAGACTTAACTAGCATTCACTTTATAAAGCTTTAAAAACTTGACTATCTTGCAGTCTACGAGAGTACAAAACTTAAATTGGTGGTCATTCAGCAAAGAGCCCCCCTCATCAAGGTGAGTATAAGATAAAATCCCTCCTGTAGTTTCTGAACTTTTCTCTTTAGCCACAAAAAATGTTCACTGTATTAAATGTTCTGCCCTATGTTATGTTTTTCTCACTGATATTTTATATTGTAATGTATACAACAGGGCAAGAGTAGAGCGTACACTGAATGGCTGTCAAGCTGGTTGAATGAAATTCAGTTTGATCAGGTTGTCGTGTTAACCAGCAGCTTTGCATATGAAAGACTTGATCAGCAGCTCTCAGGGTAATCTATTTCTTAAAATAAATATATCAAGATTCTTAAATGCTGGATAACAATAGTCCTGTTCGTGTTGTCCTATTATATTAATTATAATCACTTCCATTAGATGGAAGACAAGGTGCCCCCCCCCCCAAGTTTTGAAAGTTTCGCTTATCCTTTTTCTATAAACACTCTAGGAGGAAAGATTGTGGTTTTAAAATTGACCATCTTATATTAAACCAATTGATTGATTAAAAACTGAATCACCTAAAGGCCACCTTTCCGAGTACTTTACACCAAGAAAATGGAAGAACGTTCAGGGGAAATCTTCAAGAGCCAAATTGGCTGGAAAGAATTAGAATGTCGCCATTCTTTCCCAGCTCCAACACCTATACAGAGAGAAAATGAACATGCTGACAATCTTTTCTACATGCCAGGCTCAGGGATAACAAAAAATTTATTTGAAAAATGGTGAGTAATTTAAATATTTTATAAAAATGGAAAATTATTGTCAAGGGACATTAGTCTAGTTTTTCAACTGCTTGTGCAAATAGAACTATTTTTTTTTTGTTACCTCCAAAATTATTTTAAAATAATAATATTTAATTTGGTACAAAATCATCCTCAAATCTATACACTTCTATGCTGAGGATGAAAAAAAACAAAATCCAGTTATTTCAATTTTAAAAAATATATCAAACATAAAAACTCTTATGACTAATAATGTCAGTGTCAATCCTAAATTCTGAACCAAGTTGTTTCCCTTTGTCACATTAAAAAAAATTTCCATCCTACAAATAAAGATATATTAATACTATTTTGATATTATTAATATCAGAGGTGCCACTCACTGAAATCCGTGAACCCTGAAATCCCTTTCTAAAAATCTCTTGAAACCTGAAACTTCATTTACAAACATTTCAAACCCTGAAACTTAACAAAACTGGAAAACTGTTGAAATAATTTCTTGTGCATTGATTACAAACAAAAGTGAGAGGCTAGCAAACAAAGGTGAGAGGTAGCACTAACTGTTCTATTTATAGCAAATACGCTCTCTCTGAATAGGCTTTTGCATGTTCTCACACAATGATTTTCTTTTTAAAACCCAAAATCCGTGTTTGAATAAACTGAACTGGTGAATCCGGAGCTGAAAAATATTTAGCCGCACAGAATTCCGGGATAATCTGTAAAAGTGGCATCCCTGATTAAGATATTGAACAAAATACTTAAAATGATAACATAAAACCAGCATGTTGCAAGACATAAATTGTGATAAAATATGTGGTTTCCTCCATTTTTGACAACATAACATATTCCAGCCAGGAACTACCAGTATTGGTGTTGATGATGTTTGTTTCTGAGGGAGACAATGCTCAGGATGCTGTGGACTTGGTCGGCCAACTCAATCTTTGGTTAAAACTTGTGACACAGAAGGTAATACATCAGTTGTTATTGATCAAGCCCATTATTTAAATCAGGGGTTTCCAGCCTTTTAGCTTGCCGTGGCCAGGCCACATTCAAAGAAGACTGTTTTGGGCCACAAATAAATACATTTACACCAATGATAGCAGATGAGCGCAACAAGAAAAAACAAAAAACAAAAAACGTAGAATATTTAACTTCATTAATATTTAATTATAAAAGTAAATGAACAGACAGCAACATGAAATTAGCGAGATACATTGTTTTTTAAGTAATTATGCTTCAATATTTGGTTCAATGAAAATCGATCTCAAGGTGTTTATTAGATATTTGGTTCTAGTTTCATACTTCGTGTGTTTCATTCTTGAAAATAGTTGCTTTCAAATGTAGGTGCTTCAAAATAGCAATGCCATGAATGAGGCATGACAGTGTAATTGATGGATATTTTTATCTGGGAAGATGTGGCTTAAAAATTTAAAAAATCCAATAAAGAGACATGATGGATCTTTAAAACGAGTTGAATGTCAGATTGTAGCTCTATGCATTCCATTTGAAAATTTGTAGGTAATATGTTTATTGTTATGTTTTTTTCTTTAAATATATAAACTTGTTATCAAATCAAACATCACGTCTGCATATTTTTTTGTTGTTCAGGAAAGTTTTAACCCAACGTGTCAAAATGCAAAAATCAATGGAACAGTTTTTACATTAAAAAAAAAAAAAGTTACTTTTAAACCACATTCAAAAGAAAACTGTACCCTGGAATACTCAGTACCAATGATTTATCTCTTTCAGGGTTTCTTAGACTTTGTTAACACAAACTCATCAGAGTGATGTGCATATTTTCTTTTCAAGAAATACAATTTATAGACTAATAATTTCAAATATTTTACAGGATGAAAATGCACCAAGTGAAAATGTACAATCTTGTTCCTGGAAGGTCCCAGACTCTTGGCGTCTAGTTTTTGGGAGTAGATTTGATCAAAAACTCTTTCAATGAAAACATTTGTGTAAAATTTACATTTATGATACAATGAATACAATGAGAATTGCATGATATTTGCTAAAATAAAATATGACAAAAACTTATTTTACTTCAGTATATATTATTTTAAATGTTGCACATGTTGTGTTGGGAAATACAAATGATTTGATCACATTTCTGAAAATTAATGTAAACAGATGAAGAAATAAGTCAGACATTAGGCAAAAACACTTTGAGTTTGATTCATGCAAATATGATGGGGAAAAAAATGATAGAAAAATATCTGGCTGAGAGACAAACCTGTGTTGGAAATAAATGTTCAGTTGATTATTTTAGAAAGATTTTTTCATTTTACAGCACAAAGGTTAAGGTCATATAAAATATTCTTAACACGCTTTATTACAATTACCTAAAGGTGGTTTTTAACTTAAAATTTGAAATTGTAAACTTGTATTATTGTGAAGTAAGTTGTAAATGGCCCTCCAATTGTAAACTTGTATTATTGTGAAGTAAGTTGTAAATGGCCCTCCAATTGTAAACTTGTATTATTGTGAAGTAAGTTGTAAATGGCCCTCTATTCAAGAGAGAATGAACAAGGGGGTTTGGTCATTATTGTGTCTTTCATGGGGTATGAGAAAATCTGGGAGACATGAGGCCCATTGGCCAGGACCTCTCATATATTGTCACTTGTAAGCCACCAACAGTCTTGTTGCCTCCTTGATGACGAAGTTAAAGTCAACATTCAAGTTGGACCTCCAGAACCTTCTCACGCGGCCCCAGGTCTCGGCCGGGAAACATGGACTGGCGATACCGTGAAAGATTCTGGCGATGGCCCGTCCAGTCAAGCGGTGTTCTTGTCCATAAGTGGATATGAAACTTCTTAAATCCCCCAGTAGCTGGTTCAGTTCTGATGAGTCAGGCTGGAAATTAAAAAAAGAAGACATGCAATGATACACAATATTAAAATGGTATCTTACTTGAAATGTTTTAGCCACATCACAGTTTCATTAACATCAGAGCTAAGCCTAAAATTATGTAGTCATTAATCATTATTACTGAATTTACAACTTTGCATTCCTTCAGTTTAGAAATAAAAACTTTGCAGAAGTCAAAGCAGAGAAAAATTATCACTTGTTACTAATACATTGTTATAAAAGAAATAAATCAATTATTTTAAACTCAGGATTCTCATTAAAAATAAAGATTAACTCTTAAGCATAAAAATGAAAGAAAGTCCATGGTAAACGATGAAACCATCAGTGTAAACAAATTTGTTTCCCATGCTAGACAACTGGGGTCACATGCCAGGCAGAAGAAATCAGTGAGTAAAACATTTGATTTATCTCTGCAGTATGAAAGGTACAGCTCTGCCAATACAAGAGAAATGAAATGAAAACGGTTTTAGATCTAGAGAGAGTGAGACATGCAGCACCATGAGACGCTCACCTGTTCTAAATGTACCTGTTCCGACTCATCACAGCCTCTGTCCTCTCTGTCAAAATACTCCTCCAGCTTCTTCTTTAGTCTGTCACTCCTGTCAACGTCAGCTTCTTGACTGCACATCCAATAATTCTTATGGGAGATACTGAGAAGTGGTAAATAATTAGGATATTAAGTTTTACTTCCATGAAAATAGTTAAGATGTAAAGTTCAGCTTCCAGGAAATGGAAGGAGAGAATATAGTAAATAAGGATTAGTATTTTTTTTTTAATTGGTCAGATTGGGACCACTATCTTTCACCACTGACAGCGCCTCCATGATAACACTGACGACGGAAGGTAAAATTTAGTAAAATGCTTATCCCAACTTAAGCATGTGTTCTTATCCTAACAGGTGCCGATGGATCGAAGCATGTAATACTTAAACTTAAATTATATACATTATAGAATTTGTTAAAACGAAGAAATGTCGAACTTTGAACTCTGCGAAATTTACTGGTGTACTAGTTAGTTCTATCCAGTGGAGTAGCTAAGCTAAGTGCCGCCCACGGCGGGCCTTGCCTTTTCTTGCTCTTTTCACGAAAACAAAAGTAAGAACTTTGCAGTTGGAAGAAAACGATGCCGACGGGGCGGACCGCCCCACCCCACCCGCCTGCCTAGGTCACTTGTTCACCCGCCTGCCTAGGTCACTGGTTCACCCGCCTGCCTAGGTCACTGGTTCACCCCCCTGCCTAGGTCACTGGTTCACCCCCCTGCCTAGGTCACTGGTTCACCCACCTGCCTAGGTCACTGGTTCACCCGCCTGCCTAGGTCACTGGTTCACCCGCCTGCCTAGGTCACTGGTTCACCCGCCTACCTAGGTCGATGGTTCACCCGCCTGCCTAGGTCACTGGTTCACCCGCCTGCCTAGGTCACTGGTTCACCCGCCTGCCTAGGTCACTGGTTCACGGTCATTAGCTGAACCCCCTAAGCTCAGAGACATTGTGGCTAACATGTGTGGGAAAACAACACAATACAACATGACCCAGATTGTCAAGTGCATAAACGATTTAAAAATAAAAATAAAGTTATGTTAGTTAATTAATGTCAAATAATGAATCATTACATTACAGGGTGAATAGTGCAGACTGAATCGCGAAGGCCAAGTCAATTTAGTAATGTCATTAGAGAATGAATTTGCTGTTGCCACCACATTTCGTTTAAAGCAGCGACTACTGTCAATCATTGGTGCTGTGTCATCCAATCGTACTTTACGTTAAGTTTCATCCAATGGTAATGTACTTGTCATTTAATGGTACTACTCTTGTCATGTAATAGTACTTCATCATACATTTAACGGCGCTACCTAAGTTGCTAAAAAAAAAACATTTCTATTTGTCCATATAATTTCTGGATCGCTATCTGTCAACAGCCCCCTTTCTCTCACCGTCAATATATATATATTTAGGATAGTCAAAATTTTCGAAGTTTGAATATATTTGGCGTGACCCTCTTAGTTTTATTCTCTGATCTTCTTAGTTTGTATGGTCTGACCATCTTAGTTTTGTATGTTCTGAACCTCTTATATGGTCTGACCATCTTACCTATTTCCACTAACGGTACACACAATAATTGCAGACAACGATCATTTATGAAATGAAGAATTATATTTTGGAGTGAAGTAAGATATTGTTTTGTCATTATGATTTCTAGAAAGCGTAATGAGTAATGCGCAAACAGTGCATTTTATGGGCACAACTTGGGAAGAAAGAATTTCAAACATCTTCGAAACCACTGGCAGTTCACTGGTACCACTGGCAGTTCACTGGTACCAATGGCAGTTTCACTGGTACCAATGGCAGTTCACTGGAACCAATGGCAGTTCACTGGTACCAATGGCAGTTCACTGGTACCACTGGCAGTTCACTGGTACCAATGGCAGTTCACTGATACCACTGGCAGTTCACTGGTACCACTGGCAGTTCACTGGTACCAATGGCAGTTCACTGATACCACTGGCAGTTCACTGGTACCACTGGGAGTTCACTGGTACCAATGGCAGCTCACTGGTACCAATGGCAGTTCACTGGTACCAATAGCAGTTCACTGGTACCACTGGCAGTTCACTGGTACCAATGGCAGTTCACTGATACCATGGCAGCTCACTGGTACCAGAGAGAATAGATTCTCTTTGACCTTGCGGGAAATAAAATGGTTGATCGGCTACCGGTCATTATTTCAGGCGTGGGAATGAATCAGCCTCAGGGGATTTCCCAAGCTGGAAACCAGCACCAGAGAGTCCCAATCATCTGCTGTTGCACATTTATTAGGGTATCAAATAATTATACAGTGCAGGAAATGTGCTTTGATAATATTTCAAGTAATACAGGTCATTTAGTGGAGCCAAGCATGCATCTAGGAAAAAAAAATATATTTGGAAAACGATAATCTCTACTCGGCTTGCCGCCACCATATCTTAGAAGCTGTTGTGGAAAGTGTCTTCGGTGAGATGATGGCAACTGCAACTTGTGGACCTGATGTAGCCATCTTTAACGCGTTCCATGCAATGATGGAGAAAAATTTATTAACCTAGTAATATAAAGTGGTGCTACTAATGAAATAGTTTTTGTGAGTTCAAAATATGACCAGGAAAGTCTCAAGGAATTCGCCATCGGGGAACTTGAAGCTACGCAACCCAGAGATAATTACAAGGCATTTCTTGAATTAGCAATTATACTTGTAGGAAAAACTCGTTGCGGAATGTGGTACCCATTTTAGCTCTTAATCATGCATGGTGGATGGCTAAATCATTTTATAGCTTTAAAGTATTGATGCTCCGCGGGCAATTCAAAGTCTCTACAGGAGAGGAAGGAGTCAAAGCGGACAATGCTAAAGTGTATTTATGAAAAGGAAAGAATGGATCAACTTCCAAAGGGTATTCAGCTAAATTCGGAGAAATCTGCTATAATGAAAATAGAACACTTTGTTGTAAAAAAACATTATGAATTCTTTCACTCGTTTGAACATGCCAACTATATACCAAGAATCCGATCCTGACACATTGAATCTACTCCTGACACATTGCATCTGATCCTGACACATTAAATCTGATCGTGACAAATTGAATCTGATCCTGACACATTGAATGTGATCCTGGCACATTGAATCTGATCCTGGCACATTGTATCTGATCCTGGCACATTGAATCTGATCATGGCACATTGAATCTGATCTTAACACATTGAATCTGATCCTGACACATTGAATCTGATCCTGGCACATTGAATCTGATTATGGCACATTGAATCTGATCTTAACACATTGAATCTGATCCTGACACATTGAATCTGATCGTGACACGTTGAATCTGATCCTGACACATTGAATCTGATCCTGACACATTGAATCTGATCGTGACACATTGAATCTGATCCTGACACGTTGAATCTGATCCTGGTACATTGAATCTGATCGTGACACGTTGAATCTAATCCTGACACATTGAATCTGATCCTGACACATTGAATCTGATCCTGACACATTGAATCTGATCCTGACACATTGAACCTGATCCTGACACATTGAATCTGATCCTGACACATTGAATCTGATCCTGACACATTGAATCTCAGAAATGATCATAAACAAGCCTGGCGATTGTTAAAACATTAAGGGTGATTAATGACAGCAGAGAAATGCGTGGCTTTCATGCAGGAGTTGAACAGCAGAGAGATGTGTGGCTCTCGGGCAGGA